ACCCGGAGGGGGGGGTTAAATTTTGTTTGCCATTTTTTTCCCTAAAATAAAAACGTTTTTTTTTTTTTTTTTTTTTTACATCAGAACAGCCAACATGACCATAGATTGTTTCCAGTCTGCAGGGTGTAAAGAGGAGCATCACACATTAGTGGAGCTTATTTGGCCTGAAATATGTTCAGGCAGGACATATAATTGCATTTAAAAATAACCCAAAAAATCCCTTCCTTGTGAGAATTCAAAAGGTCATATCAGAGAAAGGGTAGAAATCTCGCCACTACATTTTAGTGTCATCTGGAGTTGGCTTCTCATTCTCATATTCGTTCTCTGGGGAAATTAGATGGTATGGCTTTTTCTCTGGCTGGTCAACCGTCTGGTTGCCCAACTCTAGGTCATTGACTCTCAACTCGTGGCGAGACAAATGTTCTACGATGCCAGCTCCGATGGAGTCACCAAGGACGTTGGTGGTGGTGCGCAATCGATCACTGAGAAACAGAGAAAGAACATGAAAACAGTCATGAATGCAAAAACACGATTTCAAGATGCACCAACAAAAGAACATAAAACACTGCGTCCCTTTAAATAATGCCGAGACTGCAGGGCATATTCAAAATTCAATCAATAGGCAAACAGAGCAATTGCGATGTATAGCTTTAGTACATTTTGCATAAAATCTGCAACTTGTTAATTTGCCATTCAAAGGGAGTGGCTAAAGCCCATTCTCCTAGATACTTACAGGAACCAGTCAACAGCAATGATCAGTGAGATGTCGTCTGTGGGAAGACCTACAGATGTTAGCACTATGATCATGGTAACCAGGCCTGCCTGAGGTATTCCAGCTGCACCAATGCTGGCTGCCGTGGCTGTGATGCTGAGGAGAAAATGATAGACCCCAAAATATTATTTATCTCTTTTTTTTTCAGTAACCTTCTAATTTTGGTTGCTGTGGCATTTCTTTCTGATGGTGCTAAAGCAAAGGAATTCATATCCATTAAGCCTTTCCACAATTTATCACCCACAGCCAAAAATGTCAATGTATTCAGTGGGATAAGACCAACACAAGAGAATGATGGATGATATTAAATCTCTCTTTTGAAGAATAAATATATGCAAAACCCCCAAAGTTGTGCAGAAACAGTAGAAAACACACCAAACAGGGCAGCAGCTATGACTGCAGTGAAAGAGGATTGTACAAAGTGTTGACTCAGAAGGACTGAATGCAAATGTCACACTTTTTAGATGTTATTGTAGCACAGTTTATCAATCAAAGAGCCACAAATTTAGCAGATTTAGCTTAGTACATTTAGTTTGGGATAAAAGATTTTTTAATTGAGTCTTGTTTTTTTTTTTTTTGTTTTGTATTTTTGAACTAATATTGTTATGAGCAGCAACATTTTGCAATACCTGATGGTGAGAATCTGTCCAAAGTTAAGGTCATAATCATTGACCTGTGCAATAAAGATGGCTGCCAGGGCCTCATATAAAGCTGTTCCATCCATATTTATGGTGGCTCCGACAGGGAGAACAAAACGGGTCACACGCTTGTCTACCTTGTTGTTTTCCTCCAGGCATTTAAAAGTGATGGGTAATGTGGCAGAGCTGTGTGAGAGCAGAGGGAGTAATAGGAAAAGTCATAAGACACAGTGAAAATGTTCATGAAGACATCTCCTCGTCTATGTCAGTAGAATCACAAACCTAGAAGATGTTCCAAGGGCAGTAACAAGTGCTTGCAGTAGCCCAGCAATGAATAGAAAGGGATTCTTTCTGGTAATAATGAAGTAGAGCGTTGGGAGGACTATGATGGCGTGGATGAGCAGGCCACTAATGACGGTTACTGTATACATTCCCAGCTGGCCGCCCATGGCTGAAATGTCATCCATCTCCACAATTTTACCAGCAATGAGGAACAAAATACCAACAGGGGCATACCTGAGGATAGCGAGTTTTACAAAAGGATTGAAACATTTCATTACATGTCATTTCTTTTTGATAATCCGTCTTTCTAGCTCACATTTCTAATACATACCACATTATGATGGCGACCAGCCTCATGATGGCCTCATTGAGGCAGTCAAAGAAGTCTCTGAGGGGTTGTCCTTGTTCCCTCATGTTCCCGATGATCAGACCAAAGCACAAGGAGAACACCACCAAGCCCAGGGCGTTAATCCCATTCACTGATCCTGGCACTGGAATCATCTCCTCTTGGGCTGTTTGCTGGCTGCCATTTTGGAGGAATATTGTGTCGTTCACCGTAACAGTCACATGGATTACTCTCTTGGCATAATGCGTCTTGAACTGAAGTTTAAAGAAAAACAAATGTGAGTTAATTAATTCCTGTTTTGGGAAAATTGATCTAAAAGTGTTTTATTTTCAGACTCAGTCAATGCTGTCTGGCCAGGACTGCGTGGTCTTGAGAGCGCCACAGTGCACACACAGGATCATTTGCGGCCAAAATGAATTTTCTATTGCTTATTTGCATGTCCAGTCACTGGGTGCAGTGGGTCAGGGCTGATTGGCCTGGATTTAAAGCTTCTTGTTTATTTCAAAATTAAATTGCTATTTTGGTGTTTTTTAGGATTAATGTGATTCAGTATTTTACATAACTGCCTGCCTGCCCAACAGCACATCCATTCATCCATTCATCCTGCTATTTTACCATTTTGTTGTCCATATCTCTCAGAGTGCTTCCTCGATTACATGCGTGTATAAAATAGGAAATGAGAGTGGAAACTTGCAAGGATCTCAACAGCTAAAGTTCCCATCCAATTTTTGGAAACCCCCCTTTGGATAATCAAGTAATGCAATTACTATTGATATCGTTTTCTGAAAACTGTTTTGATGGGATTTCTCTTTTAATTTCTTCCCGACTTCAAAATTTCAAGAGCTCGATTTCATGGAAACAAACTCAAACCACATCCTGCAAAATAACTTTAATTTAAATTTTCTCTGGCTTTGGAAAATTTTGTTATACTGGCATTTTTTAATAATACAATGTGATATTGAAAGAAGGCATGTGGGCAAAACCTAATGAAAGAATACAAATTTTTTTGTCAAAAAGAAATCTCCATCATTCAGAGAATATTTAATGGCTGTTCTCTGACATCTTGTTAAGTGATAAATTTTAAATATAATAATGCCAAGTTCGTATTATGTGACGCTTACAAAGTAAAAATGTTCACCTGAGCTTTCCGTAAGAAGGACATTTGTGATGTTGGATGCTTCAGAAGGAACATGAAACCAAATCTTCATCTAGAGAAACATCAACTAGTTCAGCTACACTGGTGAGTAAATACCAGTGTAAAGTCTCTTTGAGTGGCCTACATTTGGATGATGTAATTTCATTTCACTTCTAGAATATTTAATTAGAGAGATCGGAAAAAGAAAATATACCTGTTTGGTGCAAGCGTCCACAAGGTTTGGAGGAAACATATTTCTGGAGAAAAAAAATAAAAACAATAAAAAGTAAATATTTTAAAGAGTGAACCTGGAGCACCTGCTTTTCTGTGATAAACAAGTTCTTCTTTCGAAATAGTTAAGTGCTTTTGAACAATTTGTGTTTCTGAAAAGTTTCTAAATCTAAAAAGCAACAGTGTGGAAACTCCAAAGCGAGAGTAGGTCCTTTCATTTTCTTGCAGTTTTTTATTTCTTGCAAATAGTTTCTTTTTGTAGACACATGCACATTTTGTACAGATTTTCCCTTTTCCCTACTCAGCTGCGTGCTTTTTTAATCTGACATGCTATTTTAAATAACTGCATGTCATGTTCTTATGTTGTAAATTTGTATTTACTGTATAGTTTCTTCACATTTTCTGTTTCTATAATCCATTTGACTTTCACTTTGCTGCTGGTACACCTGAATGGATAAAAGATATCTCTATATCCTTAGTCTATTTACAAGACAAAATGATCACTTACAACACATGTGGGTTTTGCTGCCTGATTTTTGGTGAAACCCTTTTGGGTTGTTTAGGAAGCACTGTTTTGAATACCTGATAAGATCCAGAAAGGCATCAGCAGGGCTGACCTGCTCTATCTGTTGCTGCTTGGTGAACTCGTCCTTGGATCCCTTTCCAGGGTGAATAATAAGCACCATGACTATACCGATGAACACAGCAATCACAGTTGTGGTGGTGTAGTAGATCACTGCCCTCACGCCCATTCTACCAGAAGCCCGTCTATCCAGAGAGGCGATACCTAAAGAGGACAAAATCATTCAAAAAGAAAAAAATGTTTTGTTTATTTATTTTTTTTAATGTATTGCACAAAAATGTAATATTTCTGCCTCTGTAGGAGTGTGTTTATTCAGCAGCGTATTTTTTCCCCCCACCTTTAATATGCCACGTAGCGGAAAATATTTGAACATATAAACAATGGCAAAAAGTTGCAATTGTGTCTGTGTACTGTGAAATTTCATGTTTGTGAGTAATATCTTGGCTAAAAACAAAAAAAAAGCTGATTCTTATTCTGATAGCTTGCTTGCATAAGTGTACACACCCTGATACTAATATATTACCAAAAGAACCCTTTTGAGTCTAAAGAAGCATTCACTTTTTATGGTAGGAGTCTATCAGCTTATCTGTCACATTTTGACTTTACAATATTTTCCACTGCATCTTGCAAAAGTCTCAGATTGCAAAGATATACTTTGTCTACAGGCCCTGCAGGTATTTCACATATTTTGTTTTTGCAAAATATAGTTTTGTACTTAGACAAGGCCATTCCAAAACTTTAATTTTCTTCTCATGCAGTCATCTTTTTTGTTGCTTTGGTATTTGCTTAGACTCACTGTGCTGCTACAAGTGAACTTCCACTTCTTTTTCAATCTTATACAGATAGCAGAAGGTTTTGCTTTAAAACAGAATACTTTTGAGGTGTTCATAATTTGATTTACCCTGACAAAAACTCCAGTTCTCTCTTTAGAAAAACAACCCAAGATTTTGATGGTAATACCACCACATTTCCAAAGCATTTTGGAAATGTGGTGGTTGGTTTTGTGCCAAACATATGTATGAATCAAAACCAAAACTTAACCTCCATCTATACATCTTGGATTTTTTTTTTGAATTCTTCACCTAAATGTCACCTTTATGTAGTGAGATCCTGTTGATCTTCTCAAAATTATGTCTTAAGCTAAAGGACATTTGATTCATAGTGAAATTAAATAATAATATGCATTGACAAACAATTGTTTAAGGTTGAAAACACTAGCTGCAGAAATAGGTTATTTCAGTTTTTTTTACTTATTTCTCATCAAATAGATTTGTTGACTTATGAGGTTAATTATAGAGCATTTACATCAGAATAAATGTTAACATTTAAAAATAATTTATCATAATCTCTGTTATATTTTTATTCTTTAGCACAAAAGACTGTAACTTAGCAGGGGTGTTTGACTTTTGAAAGCTGGTAGTAATTTGATTGTGATTATTAGTTACGCCTGCCCACCGCAATCAGAATAGCATTGATGTGCCGCTAATTTCAGTGCCTTTGTGTGTCCAGTTAGCCTGTGAAAAGGTTTGGTGATTACAGGGGGAATACACCCAACTGGATTATCATCTCTGACTCCGGCAACAAAGAGACACAAGAAACACAATCTGACTGCGACCTTTAATGCTGGAAAAACAACACCTGCTGCTAAATCCCTTTGGGGGAAACTAATAAAATCTGCTTTTATTTAGCAAATTCACAAACAGCTGCAGAGGTAAAATATCCAAAATATGGATCTTGAATTGTCATTTTGTCCACAAACCGAAGAAAGTAGTACACAATCTCTGCTTCTGCAAAGTCCGACATGTCTCTCTCTGTGTGTCATCAGTTTGTTGTGAACACAGTGTGCAGAGATGTTAGTTGCTGATTTCTTGGCTAAATCTAGGGCATTGTTTGTCCCTCAGAGAAAAGGATACAGGGAAAGGTGTAACTTTATGTACAAGTGATGTCTCTTTAATCCCTTTCAGCGCAACTCTTTGTTGTGTCTGGCAAAGTTTTTCAATTTAAGAACAAGGTTTACTACTAAATTTCAAAAACCTGAAGCAGACTGAGAGCTAATGGTTCTCACAATAAACCATCTGTAGGGACAAAGATGGAAAAAAAGGCCACGAAAAAAACCTGAATTAGGAGACAGACTGCTTTAAAATGGTTCAATTCAACTATTATCTTTCTTCAGAGTTTTCTAAGCAGGCTTTGTCTGTTTGAGAGATTTATGTATTCCTTTGTAGCTCTTTGATTCTACAGATGTTTGCTGAGACGTCTGTGGATTCCTCAGAAGGTCAGTGTTGTTTGAAGATCACAACTTTACTGCCTGCCTCAAGAACTTTGGAGTTTAGGAATGACTCAGTAGAGTGAAAATGATTAGAAAACCAATTAGAAGTATCAAACAGTGTCATTAGAAAGAGTACAAATGTGTTTGGATGGACATGCTGCCCCAGAATTGGATCCGTTTGTTCCTATCACCTCATCAGTTTAGGACTCAGGCTTTAGTCTGTCTCTTTCTGATCTTCTCCTTCTCCTCCTTCATTCACTCATCCCCAGTTTTTTTCCATCTCCTCTCTTTTCCACACCTCCTTCACCATCTCTTCTTTCAGGGTGCCTTTTTGCACCCCAGTCTGTTCTCCTCTTGTCTCTCCCCAAATCTTTTATCCCTCCTGCTCTTTTTTCTAGTTCTCTTTCATTCCGCGTTCGCTTTCTTCCCGTTCCCTGTCTGACGACCCTGGGAAAACTTGTTGACTTAGTCCACCCTGCACGTACTCACAATGATCTCCAGACTGTTGTCCAGGCAACAACAGATGCAGCCTCACCAATTCAATCTTTTCAAAAGATCGAAAGGAACAAGATTGAAGGAGCACAAGCTGAATGACTTTCTTTGTAGTTTGGGGGAATGCTCATCAGTCTGGCTCTGTGAGAGTCAGTGTGAAACACAGCATGTACAGTGCCTTCAACTTCCTCACATTTTGTCACGTTACAACTACAAACATTAACATTTTGGAAACTTTACGCAGTACAACACTAGAATGTGTTTTGTTATTTTCTGAATTTTAAAAGTTAAGACCTCATTTTGAATTTCAAATTGTAATATTGTATTTTCTTCTCTTCAGGCCTTTTATTTTTCTTTTTATCTCTGCAACATAAAAACTCTCTGGTGGTCTCCCATTATTCTGTAAAGCATTTAGTTTTCAGGTTGTACTGAATCTAGTGCGATGGAGTCGACTGAAATGAGAAGAAATAAAAATGCATTAGCAAACAAAGCTTCTTCGAGGTTCTGTTTCTCACTTAATGAGCAGACCACATAAGCCTCTTTCTCATAAGTCTCTATCTGTTGTTCTTCCCCTCATCCGCCTTACAGCTCAACCCTCTTTACCTTCCCTCATTTCTTACCTTCTGGGGCCCCACTATATTCAGCTCAAAACACTGCATAGGGCCCCTCTGAGAATGTTTTTAGGCTCACAACTCAGCTTCAGTTGTAGATCGAATCAGCTCAGAAGCAAGACATTTTCATGTGGGACAACTCTTTTCACATAGAAGCACTACTCAGAATCATGTCCTTTGGACATGTCATTGTAGAAATTGCAGAAATAGATTATTCACAAAGTCTTGCTCAATATATGAAAAATACTGCTGTTATTTCAACAGAGTGGGATTAAAGCTGCTTGGTTAATTTAGGATGGGGGAAAAAAAAAGATGAAGCTAAAGTATGTGAGATTATTGTTTCTGATCAAAACACAGTGGGCTGGCAGATTCATTATTTTCAGCAAAAATGTGAAAAAAAAAACTAAACAGTAATGAAATCAAAAAGCTGCATTTTAATATAAACAATATTAAATCACCAAATTACAAAATTAAATTGATGTCACTGATAAAAAGTAATTAGACTTACTAGTGACTCTTTACTAATTTATATTTGTGACATCAGAAATATCTAAAGTTGATGAAGGTTCATCATTTTATTAACATGTTTATAGACTTTTAAAAATAACAGTTTTAAATCTTTAGTACTTTTGTCTTTTACACTAACTTTTACTGTAATGACTAAATTTTAGTTTATTGGTTATTTTTAAATGGCGTCTCCTCATATTTGATAATCATGAGCTGCATGATTTTTCATAAGAGGGTTAAAGTCAGCTCTAGCATTATATATA